GAAACCTCTTGTATTGTAGTTTAAATTTTTCTGCAAACCAAAATCATCACTAAAATAAAGTTTACTTTCATAAATTGTCAATAAAAGAATTTTTGAAGCCAAGCGTGGTGGCCCTTGCCTGTAATCCCAGTAATTGGATGGTTAAGGCAGGAGCATCAGGAGTTCATGGCTAACCTGGGCTACAAGAGACCCAGTCTCAAAACAAAATTAGAGACAGTGTATGGCTCAGGACAACTTTTGGGAATCAGTCCTCTCCTCCCACCCTGTGGGATTCTGGGAGTGAATTCAGGTCACCAGGCACGGTAGCCGGCAAGTGACTCTTCCCACTGAGCCATTTCACAGCTATATTTATTTCTTTATGTATTGTGTGTGTTATGTGAGTTCCTGCGTGTGCACGTGTGTGTGCATCCATGCCGAGGCCAGCGGATCATGGGTGTGCATGTGTGTGTGCATCCACACAGAGGTCAGCAGATCATGTTAGGTGTCTTAATCACTCTCTACCTTACATTTTGAAAGAGGGATTCTCACTGAACCTAGAGCTTACCTCCACAGCTCGGGGTTTACAGGGCTCACTGAACCCTGGTTTTTACTGAGTGTTCTGGATCTGAACTCAGGTTCTCATGGGTTTGCAGCAAGCCCTTTACTGGTTAAGCCATCTCTCTGGCCCTTGTCTCAATTTTTTAAATAGGTAAGTTCCATCTTGCAATCCTTTCTGTCAGGGTGGGACTCTCCATTGCTCTCAGCTTACTCTCTGGGCCTCATTGCCTTCAACTGTGAATGGGGTCCCCACAGCATCTACCATGTATGCGGCTAGCATGTGAAGGATTTAGGCCAGGATCAGCATTGAATATGCTAATATTATTGTAAATTAAAGGACTTCCACCATAGACACTTCCCTTCTGCAGTTTACAAATGACTTGGGGTCCTTCTGTCCAGGACTAATCAGAAGATGCCTCGTGAACTTAATTCTCATCTATTCCCACTCACGATCCCGCATACCCCGGACTCCCATCATCTAGGGAAGAGAAATCTCTCTTGGGAGGGTCCTGGAAGAGTGGACAGGGACAGTTCCACAGCCTATTCTGCCTTACAGAGCTTGCGGCGGCGCCAAGGAGGCTGAGGCTGTAGTGCGCCGCCTAGTGGCACCCGCGAGCATGACCAGTGCTGGAGATGCCCCGTCCAAGCTGCCAGCCGCTCTTTCAGGAAGCCCAAAGGCTGCTTTCAAAACATAATTGTTATGAAATAGGCAGCTGTTACTCAGCTAGATCAGAGTATGTATGCATATTCCTTTTAGCCCTGAGAAGTGGTGATTATTTCCCTTTTACAACGGAGGGGACTAATGCCCGGCAAGGGTAAGTAAGATCTCTCAGCAAGCAGGAAAAAAAGAACAACCGGGAGTCGGGATGGGGGCAGGGGTTTGGGCGGGGACCTGGGGCTACATCCATCAGCTGGGATCCACCTTCCAGTCCTACAGTCCTATTTTGTTAAGAGTGGTCCTGTCCCCGAAGCATTTGCAGCCTCCATTAAGGGTCAACACTGGCCCAAGCTTTCAAAGGAGTTCTGCCTCAACAAAGGCTTCCCTGCCTCCAGCCTTAAACATGTCCCCTCCCGGTACAGCGCCCCCCACACCTAATCCCCGCATAAGCCTCCAAGACATGCAGGTGGAGTTTGGGACTCCTTCTCAAGGCCATTGTAGGCCTTGGATCAACAGCCTCTCTTTTTCTCTAGCCTCCTAATGCATCTGACTGTGTGCAGGGGCAACTGTATTGACATGTCATGATAAATAGGAAAAGCGGAGGCCAGCCTTGGCAATCCAGTGCCCTTGTTCTTGCTTCACTAGAAGCAGCCGCCTCCCCCGCCCCGCGCCCCACCCTGACTACGTGCCAGGACACAGGGTGTGAAGACGCTCCTGGAAAGTTCTGTACAACTTCTCCACTGTGTTACCCTTAGGGCTGTGTGGCTTTACACATGGGAGGGAAGTGGTCATTCCAGTCGAGGGCCAAAAATGAGGTTCCCTGGAGTACATGGGGGCTAGCTGCAGGTGGCTGAAAAATGCAGCTCCCTGAGATTTAACATACGTAGGTAGGGCCGGAGGAGATATGGAAGATTCCTTCAAAGGGCTGACCCTAGTTCCAAAGAGACAGACCTCTGTGAGCAGACGTTAAGACTGGAGAGATTGGCTGCTGGAGAAAGAGCAGCCAAAGGACCCACAACCATGAAAGAATATGAATCCTTTTAAAAAGATTTATTTTATGTGTAAGAGTATTCTATCTGCATGTACACCTGCGTGCCAGAAGAGGGCGCCAGATCTCACGATTGATGATTGTGAGCCACCATGTGGTTGCTGGGAATTGAACCCAAGACCTCTGGAAAAGTAGACAGTGTAATGGAGAGAATGAGCCATCTCTCCAGCCCACGAATCTATTTTTTTTTAAATCTAGTTTCCACTTTGTTATAGCCTGAGCACGCGTGCATGCGTGTGTGTGTGTGTGTGTGTGTACGTGCATGTGTGTAACTGAAAAAAAAAACTGTAGTTGACAGTAAAAGTGCAGAGCCCCAAGGAAGCTCATGAGCCCAGGCTGGACGTTCTAAGTACAGAGGTGTTCAGTGAGATAGATAGAGCCTGGAAGCAAAGGCAAAAGGGTTAGCATGGTCACCTTAAGCTTAAGTGTGATGCTTTTATTTGTGAGTTAATTAGAAATACAGTGATTTTGCTTTTTTTAAAGTTAGAGAGAGCTTCCAGTCCGAAGAACGGATTGGGGCTAGGTAGGAATAAGGGAAATGCTTGGTATTCCTACACCCCTCTCTTCCCAGAAGGAATTAAGCAACTTTTAAAGAAAAAACAGCAACATCCCAGCAGGGAAGCATGAGCCTGCGGCACCTACTGACCTCTCAGTCACAGCACCCTTGACCTCCTGGCCTGGGCCTCAGGTCTGAGCACAGGATGTGACTGTTGGTACCCAGGCACCCGCGTGTGTTTCCTGTCAGTCTTTAAATATCCAAATACCTGTTTGCCTTTCCAGTCAGCTGTCTCTGTGTGTGCCTGGAGCTATGTTTGGGGTTTTTAATCTCACGGGCTTCGGTCTGTGGGTGTTTTTCTAGGTGGATGTCTGCTTGTACACAGGGTGTTGCAGGAAAGGTCATCTTGCACCTGTGTGTCTCTGTTGTGTATTTACTTGTATGTTCCTTTGCAGATATGCGTAATTGTCCAGGGGCGTGTATGGCTGCGTGCTTGCGGTCTGGAATGGGTGGAACAGGCTGGGTGTGCTCAGCCACTACCGTTGCTCACTCTGTTCCAGGCCAGGCTAAAAATAGCCAGTTTACCTTTGCCCACAGAAACCGAAGTCCTGCCTTGGGCGTTCACTCCACCCGGATTCACCCTCCTGGGCCTGGGTGGCCAGCCATGATGTGGGGCGTCGCCTATAGCTCCAGCCTCCTATAGATCTCCAGTCTTTACTTTGTGGAGTTGGGATAGAAGGGGTGTCCAGAAATCCTGCTTTCATTGTCTCCCTTTCTCCCGAACACAACTAGGATGGGTCTTCTTGCTTCTCTGCCCTCACATGACCAATCTTCTAGTCAGCAACTATGACTTCCAACCCCTTTCTTCTCCAATCTAGGGACAACTTGGGAATACTAGGTTCTTTTGGATACCTCCTACCCTCCCACCAGACTTCAGAGCCTGGCTAGGCTACTGTCTTCCAGAAAAAGAGGGTTGGTTGTTCCAGATCTGCAGAGAGGAAAAGCTTATGAGGTCAGCCAGTGAGAGCTAGGGGGCAGCAGGGAGACACTTGGTAGCTGTCAGCTTGTTCTCAGAGCCAATCTAGGCCCCAGGGAATGTGGGAGAGACCCCAAGCGCTCCTCCCACTCCATCCAAGATCTCACTATGTAGCCCTGGCCTCAAACTCGCCGAGATTGTCCTGCTTCTTCCTTAGTGCTGACGTTAAAGGTATGGGCCACCATACTCACCTGTAGGGCTTTTCTCCCTATCCCCTTCACACCTTCACCCAAAGCTTTGGCCAATGGCTTTACATCTCTATGCCCCACTTCTCTCCTCTACAAAAGATCGGATACGGTACTTCTTCATAGCGTTGTGGAATTAGCTGAAATGATCCCCACTAATGGGCTACCACACGGAAGGGCTGTGAGCTTCCTGTGAGCTGATGCACAGACATCTCCCAAGTCTCACCTCGCCACATAAGCTTATGGGCCCATCTTTAGGTGATGAGGACTTCCCTCAAGAATCTTGGGATCGGAGGCCACCATTTGTGCCCCCACTTCCTTCCTATTTCCCACATTCCGCTCCTCAATCCCTTACGAGACAACCAACATCATTATCCCCCATTTCACAGGTGACAGTGGTGGAGACAGCTAAGCAGCTCCTTCAAGGTCACGCGCTTAAGGAGCAGAACCAAGTTTATACACTGAGCCTAACACAGCAGCAGGCCCCTCCTCACACGCGTCCTTTTATCAATTAGACTGTTTCACCATCTCCTAGGATGAGCCATCCTTCCGGATCCTACGTAAGGAGTTCTGGCCCGGGTCGTGGAGACAAACAGAAGCGATCACGATCCTAACTCATGCCCAAATAAATATCCACAGCTGGAACTCCCCACCTACATCCCCCGCTCCACGAAGACTTGGATATTTGACATTTTCCTTAAACCCCCCCACCTCCTTTTGAGATCGAATCAAAAGCGAAAGCTGATTCACATCCAAGCTAAGAAGGGCATGAATGTTTATTTCCTTTATTTTTGGAAAGAAAATCCGATAGACTCTGCCGTTTTCAGCGGACGGGTTTTCTAGTGCTTTGGGGCTTACGTTCTTCAAGAATCCCCTCTGATAAGGCCCCAGCTCGGCCGCGCCTACACAGTGGTTGGGTACCCCCCTCGCTGGGCCCCCGTGGCCCCGCCCCCGTCCTCCAGGCCCCGCCTCCGATCGCGTGAGGCCCCGCCCCGGCCGGCTGACTCCAGGGCGAGCGCGCGGCGGCGCTGGGCATTGTGGCCGGCGGCGGGGCGGGCGAGGGCGCCGAGCCGCGGGGAGCGGCAGGGCGCGGAGGGGAGCGCACACCCCACTCGGCCAGACTTCGCGGCGCGGCCGCTACGAGCGCCGCTGAGCGCACTCCACTGGGATCGCACAACTTCGGAGCAGGGCGCGGACGGCGCTCGCAGCGGGAGAGCGCGGAAAGGGCGCACCAGAGCCGGGATCCCCCAGCGGCATCCGACTCCGGGAGCGCTCCGAGCCGCCGGGCGGCCTCCCGGCGCTGCGTGGTTGCCGCTGCGTCCACGGAGGGCACGGGCTGGCGCTGCCGGGCGCCTGCGAGGACGGCGAGGCGGCGGCGAAGGCGAAGGCGGCGAGGCTGGGGACCGGGAAAGAACCCCGAGGGAGAGGCGCCCGGGCCGGGCGACAGGAGCATGAGGGCCCGGAGCGGGGCGCGGAGCGCGCTGCTGCTGGCGCTGCTGCTCTGCTGGGATCCGACACCAAGCCTAGCAGGTAGGAGCGAGAGGGAGTGGGACATGGGGGATGCGGTCCTGGCGCGTCCCAGCGTCCAACTGCAAGTTCGGGTGGTTCTTGGCGGAGTCACTGCGCTCCGAGAATGCAGTGGACGCGCCCAAGTTAAAAGGCAGCTTCGGTGCCCAGGAGAGGGGGCGACGCGTGGCCACCTGGGGTGCCACGTAAGCTCGAAGCTCCCTGCTCCTGCCTCCAAGGGATAGTTGCTTCCACTGGAATGGGGTCTGATTCACTTACAAGTGACCCCTGATTGCCACCGAAAAACTGTCGCTGCCAGGGCCAGGTGTGTGTTCGCTGCAGTTCGCCTGCTACTTAAAGTCTGAGTATACGCTCCCGCGGGCTGCACGCGCTGCAGTCTGCGGGTCGCAGAGAGCCGGAAACTGCAGAACCCTGGAAGCGCTTCTTCCCCTCAGCCTTTGGGGAGCCGAGGCCCGAAGGCTTTAGCTATTGAAGGGGGAGGGGCCGAGTCCTGTACACCCTGCTCTCCCAAGGTGCGGCGAGGGCGGGTATGGAAAGGTTTCGTGGTTGGTGGATTGTTTGGGGGGTGAGTGTTGGCAGAGTGGAGGGGCGTAATGTGTCCCCTGTCGACTTTGCCTATTTTCAGTAGGTTATTGGCCTTCTCAACTGTCCGGGATTTAGACCAGGTGCGCCTCTGCACCGCACCTACACCTAGTAAAGATGCTCTAAGAGGGTTTAACGGACTCCTAAGTTTATAAAGTCCCCAATTCTCCTCTCTAACCGCGAAAGTGGACGCGTCTTGCAGGCTTTAGTAACTCGGCTAGGCGTTGCAAAGTGGGCTGCGTCTTCCTTGGAAGGAAAAGTACTCATTCGCACCAACCTCTGTGGTACCCAAGCAGGTGAACTGCCGTTAGGGTGAATCGACTCCCGGAGCTGATGTGGGGGTTGGAGGGCCACCTTAGACAAAGACCTCCCTGAGAATGGGGAAAGGAAACTAGCAGAAAGTGAACGAGTTGAAACATCTTTCCCCACCCCACCACCCTCAGTGATGATGGCATCCGCTCTCCCCTCCTCCCCACCTCTCTTTCTTCAAGAGCTCCTCTGGAATGAACTGATTCCCACGGCCGAAGCTAGTTTATAGCACATCCCCCCACTTTTTCTTTCTCCCGGAGCCTTGTGCTTGTAAAGTTACAACACTCAATCATTTGATCCGAGTTAATTATGATTTGGGCAGACTCGGGTATTTAAAGCAGTGTTTTGAAGTTGGAAGGTAATGATGGAGAAGGACGCTAAACGACCAGCCTTGTTTTAAAGGGTGCACTTAGGTGAGGGAGGGGCCAGATTGGGTGTTAGTTTCTGTTTAAGAGTGTCTGGGGGTGATTGGAGGGTAGAATGAAGTCTTTGGAAATAGCACATGGGCCAGGTTGTATCTTGGGAAACATTTTTTTTTTCATATCTACCAGCAGGGTAGTGGGATCGGGAATAAATACCACAGTTACTGGGGGTGGGGTTCCATTTGGAGAAAAATGGGACTGCTGGCCCCGAAGTTCTCTGGATGGGTGGGCTGGACCAGCAATGCTGGAGATGCCCTGCATTTTCTGCTTAACAAAGCATTCAGCCCTCATCTTCCCCGGAAGAAACCCCAGGCCCAGGGCTTTGATGGATTTGGGCATGAACGGTGCCCAGTCAGAAATGGTCTCTAATACCCAGCTTTGATTTCTCACCAGTGAGCAGAAGCGGTGTTGGAATTGTGTTCATTACATAGCACTGCGGGAGCCTCCTGCCCACTATCTGGAGAAGGGCCAGCTGCTGGGGTCTGCCTGCAGCCTTCCTATGCCCAGAATATGCTGCCCTTATGGAACCTACCTTCTGAGGGCAGAGCATGCCCCTTCCTCCCACACAGCCTGGTTTCCCCAATGCCACAGGCATGGAGCAGCTTTCTACCAGGATGCCATTTGGGTTTTTCCAGTGACTCCTGATCCCATTTCACTGATGGGGAAAAGCGAGGCCCGAGCTCAGGCTTTCCCCACATCTTGTCTTCACACCGATTTCCTTTTTTTTTTCTTCTCCGAGACAAAGTTTCTCTGTATAACCCTGGCTGTCCTGGAACTCACTCTGTAGACCAGACTGGCCTTGAACTCAGAAATCTGCCTGCCCCTGCCTCCCAAGTGCTGGGATTAAAGGCATGTGCCACCACTGTCGGACTTCACAATAATTTCTGACTAGGATGATGGGCTCCTTTATGTTAGCTAGGCCAACTTTGCCCAGGGTGGGGTTGGGGGTAGGGAGGACCTGTCCTTCGGCACCCTTCCACCTGGTTGTGTTGAGGTGTCTGTTGACAGGCAGGAGCGATTACTGGGAAGGCTCCAAACAAAGTACAGGTACTTCCCAATTTTCTCCTGAGAATCTGGTAGTCAACTCCTTGAGAGTGCTGAGACTTTTTTTTAAAGCATCAAGTTTGATGATGGAAGAATCTAAACCAGACCCCTAGAACCACAGACCCTTAGGAAGACACCAGCTAGCAAGTGACTGGCTGGGAGAGGCCACTTCAAAGGCACCCGGCTGGCTCTGGTAGCTTCCTTCGACCCCACCCCAGTCATGCAGCCCTTCCAAGGCGTCCGGCTGGGACAGCTGAGCCAGAGTTGAGAGCTCTTGATCAGTCTTTTAAAGGTGCAATTAAAGAGGGAGTTTTCCCAGTGTCTGAGCTGGTGGCGCTTGTGTGGCTTTGGTGGGTGGGTGTCTGAACCCTCAGCTCCCTCGGCACTGAAGCGAGCACCCATCTCGCTTAAACAAATGGAAATTCAAGTATCTTAATGGGCTTTCTCATTAACGTGGAAGTACAACTGCAGGGGAGGAATTTCTCCTGGAATCTCTCTGCTCTGGTTCTTCCCCTCCCCCTATACAATGGGGAATTCCTTGCGACCTAACTGCTTCCCTGTTTTTAACTCCTGGGGCTTTGGGAAAAGTGTTTGGAATTGCCCAAGATCACCATAGAGCTCAGCTGAGATAGGATTCGAACTCGGGGCTCAAGGGCCTGCCTCCTTCATCCCTCCATCCTTACTTGAAGGCCGGACTGCCTCCCTGGGGTCAGGATGCTGAATGGAATTAAGGTGCCTTCTAATCTGGGCCCTTGGAGATAGAATCCTTTTGGCAGTGGATCTCACCGGACTTGTAGCAGGAATGGGAAGTGAGCGTTGATTGGGGAGCACAAGCCTGTTAACAGAACACAGCTGGACCAAGTGTTGGGCATGGGGGCCCCAAGACTTGCTCACGAATGGCACCAACATCCAGCACTGGCTGTAGCAAAACACAGGTCACCGGCTAAGCTCCGCGGCCTACAGAGTCAGATATCCACCTTTTACAGGGTAACATTTATTTGTGGAGTTGGGGACCCAACTGTCTCTGCTGGTTTTCTTATGGAATCCTTAGGTGAAAGGCACCGTGACCCGATTCTTGTTCGTGGGGACTAGTATGAGGTTTGGGGTCTCCAGCATCCTTTCCCTGAGTCACCCCCATGCCCAGGGTGACTATGGGCTGCCGTGGACTTTGGGGGACAAGCAGAGTGGGCTGTATCCCTTCCATCTCAGGTGCTTGGGCTCAGGTTGGTGATCCTGAGGGAACACTACTTAATTCCCCTATACCCACCCCGGGGGGGGGGGGGCTGGCCACAGTACCATCCTGGGGACTCTGGAGTAGGGTTTCAGGTAGCAAGGAGACAGTTGGAAGCTCGGGTCTGCAGGAAAGGGGAAACGGACTGGATACTGGGCTTCGAGTTGAGGTTGGTGGCCATGGGCCCAGAGAAACTGCTGCTTAGGCAGATGGCCTCCAGGGGGGAGAGAGAGGCTGCTGCCAGGCCTGAGCTGGCTCCTCTACTGGCATCCTTCTCCTCCGCCTCTCCACCAGCTTCCTAAACAGCTTCCACAAATGGAGTCATTAAAGCTGTGAAGGCAGAATGAACCCAAACAAGTGCGGGCTGGGCTTTTCCCCTCTCTCTTTTAAAGGAAATTTAGAATACCATAATGAGAATCATTCAGGAAGAAAAAAAAAAGCACGCGTCCGAAGGCACCAAGAACCCTGCTCCCCTCCGGACTGGCTGGGGCCTGAAATCTAGGCCGGAGCGCCACCTCCTGCCCTTTTGGATCCTGTACGGGCTCGGCACCCGGGAAGGGGGGCTTCCCCCGCCCCCTGTACCTGGGCCATTTTGGTGAGCTAGGGCAACAAGTGAGCCCCTCCTAAAGGCTTCTGGGAGAAGACTGGCACTCTAAAGCCTGCTGCCGGCTGGCTGTTCCCAGGGAGTTCGTTGACAAGCCAAATGTGGATCCCTGGATCTGGAGGCTGTGGATCGGAACGGAACTCCGCTGCAGCCCGCAGGCAGACAAGCCCAGACTGAGTTCCCTAAGCTACAGGTCCCCACCCCCCACGCGCCTTCCTCTGGCTCCTAGGCTTCCCGAGGCTAATGGCAGGGAAAACATTTGCCGAAGTGCAGGCATAAATCAGCTGTCTACCCCCTCCCTCCTTTTGTGTCGTTTCCCCTCCCAAAGCTCCCGGGCTTTGGAGCTGCTTGGAGCTCCTGTTTTTCCCCTTCTCTACAAAGCCTCCTGATTAGCATCGCCGGAGCTTGGGGGTTGGATTCAGTTCAGTCACCTGGTGTCACCAAGTACCAACCACCGTCCACCAAAGGCCTCCTGTTCCTTGTGTCCCCCTCGCTCCTTTCTCCCCACCTAATCTAAACTGATGTGGGTCTACCTAGTCCCCGCAGCAGTGCCTCGGTGCCGCCTAACCACTGAGCACAGTGCCCTGCTCCTTTGCGCGGCCCCTCTTTTCTCAGCTCCCCCAAGGTGCCCCCCCCAGCGCATCACAACTTCCCAGGCTCCAGCAAGGCGGACCTGTGGGTGTGGGTGTGAGATTGTGCACTGAGGAGTGTTTGTGAGAATGTGCGGTGGGAGGGTGGCAGGTGGAATAGTGTGGGGAGGGGGAGGGGGAATGTTATTCCGCTCTTAGGTGTGGGGGGTGTGTGTGTGTGA